GTTGTCCTGGGTCCGGTGGTCCCCAAGTCGGTTATCCTGGGTTTGATGGTCCCCAAGTCTGGTTGTCCTGGGTCCGGTGGTCCCCAAGTCGGTTGTCCTGGGTTTGATGGTCCCCAAGTCTGGTTGTCCTGGGTCCGAAGGTCCCCAAGTCTGGTTGTCCTGGGTCCGGTGGTCCCCAAGTCGGTTACCCTGGGTTTGATGGTCCCCAAGTCTGGTTGTCCTGGGTTTGATGGTCCTCAAGTCTGGTTGTTCTGGGTTTGGTGGTCCCCAAGTCGGTTGTCCTGGGTTTGGTGGTCCCCAAGTCTGGTTGTCCTGGGTTTGATGGTCCTCAAGTCTGGTTGTTCTGGGTTTTATGGTCCCCAAGTCGGTTGTCCTGGGTTTGGTGGTCCCCAAGTTGGTTGTCCTGGGTTTGGTGGTCCCCAAGTCTGGTTGTCCTGGGTCCGAAGGTCCCCAAGTCGGTTGTCTTGGGTTTGATGGTCCCCAAGTCGGTTGTCCTGTGGTCCCCAAGTCGGTTATCCTGGGTTTGATGGCCCCCAAGTCTGGTTGTCCTGGGTCCGGTGGTCCCCAAGTCGGTTGTCCTGGGTTTGATGGTCCCCAAGTCTAGTTGTCCTGGGTCTGAAGGTCCCCAAGTCTGGTTGTCCTGGGTCCGGTGGTCCCCAAGTCGGTTATCCTGGGTTTGATGGTCCCCAAGTCTGGTTGTCCTGGGTCCGAAGGTCCCCAAGTCTGGTTGTCCTGGGTCCGAAGGTCCCCAAGTCTGGTTGTCCTGGGTCCGGTGGTCCCCAAGTCTGGTTGTCCTGGGTCCGGTGGTCCCCAAGTCGGTGGTCCTGGGTTTGATGGTCCCCAAGTCGGTTGCCCTGGGTTTGGTGGTCCCCAAGTCGGTTGTCCTGGGTTTGATGGTCCCCAAGTCGGTTGTCCTGGGTTTGATGGTCCCCAAGTCTGGTTGTCCTGGGTCCGAAGGTCCCCAAGTCTGGTTGTCCGGGGTCCGGTGGTCCCCAAGTCGTGTTCTGGGTCCGGTGGTCCCCAAGTCTGGTTGTCCTGGCTCCAGTGGTCTAATGTCCTTCTATCATGACCATGGAGGTCGTTACGAAACCCTTAGTCTCAGCCACGGAGGCAGTTTCATTCTCTCTCGCCATGGGCAAGTAGGCCGTCCCAACCTCCTTTGGATCGGCCAAGAAAGCCACTTCAGACTCTGTCCCATGCTCTTTTGTTTCAGCCACTGAGAACATCCCAAGCTCTATCGACCTGGCCAAGAATGCCACTTTAAACACCCACAACACGACCAGAAAGGCCATCGTCAGAATCATCCAGCCCCTGGTCCTGCATTACCGGCACCTCCATCTCAGCCGGCCCTCCAGAGTCTCTCCACTCTCCAGACGCTCTCAACTCCACCGGCTCTCCAGATGCTCAACCGGCATCGCAGAAGCCCCATACTCTGCCAGCTCCACCCTGGCTCCCAGCCCCTGCGGCTACCCTCTGGTGTTGGGTCCCCATCAACTCATCACAGGCAACACCCTTCAGGACCCAGTGTGAGGGTGTTGCTTATAGGTGTTGACAGCTGCCTCTGGAGGGGGGAATAATGTCCCATTTCCCCTGTCTTGTTTCTCCCGGTCAAAGTTTCCTTGCTCACCGGTCACCTTTAGTTCCAATTCATCTGTTGCCTTAGTTACTAATCAACCGCACCTGTCCCTCATTACCACACTAATCAATGCCACTATAAAGACACTCAACTCACACAATCATTGTCTGGTCTCCAATATGGAACACAGACTCATCTTTGCTGAACGCTACCCTTTTATCAAGTAAAATTAAAAAATTAAGAAAGCAAACTCCCCGTTGCCCGGGGAGTTTGCTTTCTGTTCCTGGGGGAGAGAGCAATGAAATTCTGAATTTTCCAGCCAGGTGTGAGTGCATAAGACCTGAAGTGTGATTTGAGGTTATTGATGGTGCGAAACAATTGTACTTCAGACACAAAGGACCTTGCTTGATCACCCTCATTAAAATCATTTCTATTGTTATTAATAATTAGGCGTTACCATGAATGTACAATCATACGTTATGCATACAAATGGTAATGGGAGAAACGCATAAGCTAACAACTCACAGATCATTGGTGGACAAATGTTTTTTGCAGAAGGAAACGCATCTAATTTAATAGTCATTGCAGAAGACTTGAAACTGTTATTTTAGAAGCAGATAAATGTATAAAGACAGTGTTTATTTCCTCAGTCACCAATAAAAACTAGCAACACCCTGCTAGTATCTGGGTGTGACTATATCCTCCTGAGACCCAGAAAAAAAAAGTTTTTTGAATTTAGTTTTTTTCCATGTCATCACACTGTTTAGAGCACAATAAACAAATGGTAAAAAAACATATATATAAAATAATATTTTATTCATACGTTATGCTATGTCCTCTGTAGTGGACGCCAGGACTAAGTTGTTTAAAAAATAAAATGACATGAAATTATATGTATAGGCAAAAACAATGGGATTTTTTTTTCAATCACCAATACATTTTGGGGTTTCAGGATTTTTTCAACCAAAATTTGTATAAAGATTATTCTCAACTATGTTATGAAAGAAATAATGGAATGAATTGATACACCATTTTACTTTTTGCAATATGTGGGTAAAATGGCCATAAGTTAATATTCCCATTCAATGCAATGTATCTATACACTGTATCTAATTTGCACATTAATGTGTTCTGGGAGCAACATTTAATGAAAGAATAAAGGGTAATAATTGGAGTAATAATTGGCAACATTTTAATAATAATATCTAACATTTCATAGGAATATTGATGTATAATTTATTTCCATATTCACTTGTTGTGTCTCCCAGAATGCCTGATAAACATGATTTTAGTCCTGATGTCCTCTACAGTGGACACGTTTGAAATCAATGCCCTGTTCTGTAACAGAAAGTTTTTTTTTTTTTAAACCCCTTAACATTTTCCTGAGATGTTGTTTTATGAAATACAATTTGAAAAGTAGTCCAATTTATATTATAATTACACTATATTATCATATTTCCATAAGAATGCTACATTTGATCACTAAATTAATGTCAGACATTTTTAAAGACCAAGGAGAAGTTGTTTTCATGGTGAAACCTCCAAACATTTGGTATCTCTGAAAAGTCCTGAATGTGCTCTTTACAGGACACCCAGGTTGTGTCATGTGACATGTATGATGTCAGAGAAATTCACTAAAATATAATGTCCACTACAGTGGACAAAAGTCTATTCTTGGGTCCCAGGAGGATATAAAATAAATGAGCTCATTGGTGAAACTCTGTTCAGTTCAGATCTGTAATGAAAAGACACAGGATGTTAATTTCAACCCGTTAAGCAATTAAATCAGTGAAAGCATAAAAGAGCAGCAGTTAAAACACGAAACCTGTCATCTGAGCACTTTAGAAATCTGTGTTCATTTTCTGGCATTAGAGTTTGTTAGGGTGAATGAACACAGTGCCATCATCAGTGAGGTACATTTCCCCATTCCCCAATTTCTATGGCAGTTAATAAACTTGTGTTTGGCAACCAAAAGTTTTATCCTTTAGTTAATTTTGAAATTTGGAGCCAAATCAGAGCAGTTGAAAAGCAGTCGCTCAGTTATATGTCATTCTGCCTTGACTGATGAATCACTGGAGTCGGGCGCCTGGAAGCAGGTCTCAGTATATCTCAGTCCACAGCACAAATCCTCTTCCAGTCTGGAGGAACGACACCAAACACACTCCATGATGAAAAGCTGTAGCCACCAACATACAGAGACATAAAAGCCATTTCATCTGGTTCATTCATTGCCATCTTTCCTTCATTTTTCCCTCAAATATTTTCCTTCAATAATTCAAATAATTGCATGAATAGAAATATGGTAGGCCTAATGGTCTAAATCCAATTCTTTCCCACTTTTACTGTGACGTTTACTTTAAGTCAAACCCATACGATTCTTATTCTTTTTTTTAAACAAATATTTTTAATGAAACCTGCACTTCACAGCAGAGACACGTGAAGCTCGAGCTGAAGGAGGACGTCTGTACTGAAAGACTTATTTGATAAAAGAGTCTGAACTATCAATCAGAGAAGGAAGGACTGGAGGAGTGAGGCAGAAAAGTCTTGACCATGTTCATCATTAAAAAAATGTGTGCATGAAATATAATACAGTAGACTAAATAATGTTAACACAAGGTCAAAGAAAATGGAGATTTTGCAGTCTAAGACCCTTGTCTGTGAGTCTATTAGGGCTTTTTTGAGTTTTTACCTCAAATTATAGTAAGTGCATGAGAAAGCAAAGCAAACCCAATTTAGCAAGAATCATGATGCAAACAGAGAACAGAGTGTATAGTCTATATATAAAAAACTATTAGTTTAATCGGAGCGGTTGGACTGATGTATAATCAGCGGAGCCGCTCTGATCTCTGCGGAGAGTCAAGAAAAAACATTGATCTCTGCAGAGAAAAAGACACCAGAAGAAATGAAAGACGCGGAAGAGAGAGAGAGAGAGATCAAAGCTGCATTGGGCCGGTTTATCAAATGCCACCGTATGTAAATGAAGCTGTCAAGAGCACAAAACACACAGACATGATCAAGGCTTTTTAATCTTCATGAAAATGAAGGTGCTCATCTAAATAACTGAAGACACACAGTCTTTAGAGGAAAACAACAGTGTGAACAACACGTCCGACGCTGAGAAACACCAGACCGTCAGACTCACGAACCACAGCTCGATACTGGAGGATAAATCATTTCAAAATCTCATGTGTTTCATCTGATCTATGCTCTTCAGCTCAATGTCAGGACGACCCGAACACTAGTCTCCACTAAAACATGTCCCATTAAAGCGTTTGCTTTTATCAGAGGCTGAAAGTAATCATACAGACAAGCGGCAGGAAAACTCAATTCTGCACAAACTGAACAGACAAGCGGTTATTCTCCAACACTCTTCCAGTCATCCATTCCCTACACAAGCACTGCTCAATGTGTGTTTCACAGATAATACAATCACAGCAGCTCAGAATAAAGTCATCTGTGAACTTCATTCTAATTCTGTTAGTGTGTTTGTCTTTGTTGATGTAATGTGTTCTTCTGATAACAACACAGAACACAGAGAAAAGCAGCAGATCTGGAGTTCAGAGGTCAGTCAGTGAAGCATTAACCAGCAGCTGTAAATCCCTCTAAATCATCACGGGTTTCAGCTTTACCTCACAGCCCTGATCCCGAGCCCGAGCCGAGCATGTCCTCTCCGGCTGCGTTCCTGGACCGGGTCCCGGGGTGGTTCCTGTGGACGGGGATCTTCCTGCCCGTGTCGGCACTCCTGCTGCTGGTCATCGCTCACCTGAGCTGGAGGATCCGCCAGAGTAAGACACACATCTACACACACACTGCCATCGAGAGTCCGGGGTCGCTGAGGTGTTTACAATGTTTCTGAAGAGTCTCTTCAGCTCACCAGCGCTGCATTTATTTGATCAAAAATACAGTAAAAACAGTGAAATATTTTTACAGTTTAAAATATCTGTTTTCTGTCTGAATATACAGTAAAGCGTAATTTATTCCTGTGATCAAATCTGAATTTTCAGCATCATTACTCCAGTCTTCAGTGTCACATGATCCTTCAGAAATCACTCTAATATGATGATTTGATAATGAGAAACATTTATGATTATTATCAGTGTTGAAAATAACAGTTGTGCTGCTTCATATTTCCGTGGAAACCGTCATATAGGCTATTTGTATTTTTCAGGATTCTTTGATGAATAGAAAGTTCAAAAGAACAGCATTTATTTGAAATATAATCTTCTGTATCCATTTAATGAGTGGTGTAACGCTTTACAATAAGGTTCATTAGTTAATGTATTGTCTAACATGAGCAATACATTTGTTACTGTATTTATTAATCTTCGTTAACATTAGTTAAATACAGCTGTTCGCTGTTTGTTCATGTTAGTTCACAGTGCATTAACTAATGTTAACAAATATAACATTTGATTTTAATAATGTATTAGTAAATGTTGAAATGAACTAAGATTAATAAATGCTGTATACGTGCAGTTTATTATAGTTCATGTTAACTACTGAAACCTTATAGTAAAGTGCTACCAATGCGTCCTTGATGAATACAAGTATACATTTCTTTAAAAAAAAAAAAAATCTTACTGACCCCAAACTTTTTAATGTATACATCTTATAAAGAGCCCAACAGGAAATATAAGTCAGAATATATAAATGTAAATCATGATTTACATTTATATATTCAGATTTCTACATATTCAGACTTATAAATGTAAATGTGTATAAATGTAAATCCCCCTTCAATCTGTATATATTCCCATCATAACTCACAGGCTGACTGTCAATAACCATGAATAATGAGTTATGTGTGTTTAAAGCAACAAAAAATTGTATTTGAAACATCAAAAGTGATTTTACTAAAACATATCTATTTTTCAATGCAGTCATATGATTTTTATCTCACATCTAGTATTAACACCTTCCCAGTCGTGTATGGTAGCTGTTATTCATTATCATCATCATCATCATCATCTTCAAACAGCAATCGGAAATTGACACTTTATTTTAAGGTGTCTTAGTTACAGTGTGATTATACATTCAAAGAGAAATATAACAACATCCTATAGAGTTAGGCTTTGGCTTAGGGTTATTAACATGTTATTATGCATAATTTACAGTTAGTTCTATATGTAACGTAACAAACACTGTAATATAAAATTTTACCAATTTTGGACACACACAAATAAATTCTATACTGTATCTTTTTAACAAAGTGTAACCATTTCTTTTTTTTCTTCCCTCGATCAAAGAGAAAACCTCATGTTTTCTCATCCCTCTTATGTGTAATTAAAAATGAAAAACTAAATAATATGTGACAGCACAGATGTAAATAATAAAGTTAAAAACACCCGACAAGCAAATCCCCTCAGTGTCTGGATGAGGAAGCATTAGAGATGCTGTTTGATCACGCTACTGAACAATGAAAGAGTGTGTGTGAAGCATAAAACTACAGAGAAACAAGCAGCGATTCCCCAAAGACTCGGTCTGGTGGAGGAGTTACCATCAGCCCCTGCGAACCAGATCAGAGTAAACTAGCCTAAACTGAACCAGCTCAGAGTAAGCAACTAGCCTAAACTGAACCAGCTCAGAGTAAACTAGCCTAAACTGAACCAGCTCAGAGTAAACTAGCTTAAGCTGAACCAGCTCAGAGTAAACTAGCCTAAACTGAACCAGCTCAGAGTAAGCAACTAGCCTAAACTGAACCAGCTCAGAGTAAACTAGCCTAAACTGAACCAGCTCAGAGTAAACTAGCTTAAGCTGAACCAGCTCAGAGTAAACTAGCCTAAACTGAACCAGCTCAGAGTAAGCAACTAGCTTAAGATGAACCAGCTCAGAGTAAACTAGCTTAAGATGAACCAGCTCAGAGTAAACTAGCTTAAGCTGAACCAGCTCAGAGTAAACTAGCTTAAGCTGAACCAGCTCAGAGTAAACTAGCTTAAGCTGAACCAGCTGAGAGTAAGCAACTATCTTAAGATGAACCAGCTCAGAGTAAACTAGCTTAAGCTGAACCAGCTCAGAGTAAACTAGCTTAAGATGAACCAGCTCAGAGTAAACTAGCTTAAGATGAACCAACTCAGAGTAAACTAGCTTAAGCTGAACCAGCTCAGAGTAAACTAGCCTAAACTGAACCAGCTCAGAGTAAGCAACTAGCTTAAGATGAACCAGCTCAGAGTAAACTAGCTTAAGCTGAACCAGCTCATAGTAAACTAGCTTAAGATGAACCAGCTCAGAGTAAACTAGCTTAAGATGAACCAGCTCAGAGTAAACTAGCTTAAGCTGAACCAGCTCAGAGTAAACTAGCTTAAGCTGAACCAGCTCAGAGTAAACTAGCTTAAGCTGAACCAGCTCAGAGTAAACTAGCTTTAGCTGAACCAGCTCAGAGTAAACTAGCTTAAGATGAACCAGCTCAGAGTAAACTAGCTTAAGCTGAACCAGCTCAGAGTAAACTAGCTTAAGCTGAACCAGCTCATAGTAAACTAGCTTAAACTGAACCAGCTCAGAGTAAACTAGCTTAAGCTGAACCAGCTCAGAGTAAACTAGCTTAAGCTGAACCAGCTCAGAGTAAACTAGCTTAAGCTGAACCAGCTCAGAGTAAACTAGCTTAAGCTGAACCAGCTCATAGTAAACTAGCTTAAGCTGAACCAGCTCATAGTAAACTAGCTTAAGCTGAACCAGCTCAGAGTAAACTAGCTTAAGCTGAACCAGCTCAGAGTAAACTAGCTTAAGCTGAACCAGCTCATAGTAAACTAGCTTAAGCTGAACCAGCTCATAGTAAACTAGCTTTAGCTGAACCAGCTCATAGTAAACTAGCTTTAGCTGAACCAGCTCAGAGTAAACTAGCTTAAAATGAACCAGCTCAGAGTAAACTAGCTTAAGATGAACCAGCTCAGAGTAAACTAGCTTAAACTGAACCAGCTGAGAGTAAACTAGCTTAAGATGAACCAGCTCAGAGTAAACTAGCTTAAGCTGAATCAGCTCAGAGTAAACTAGCTTAAACTGAACCAGCTCAGAGTAAACTAGCCTAAACTGAACCAGCTCAGAGTGAAACTAGCTTAAGATGAACCAGCTCAGAGTAAACTAGCTTAAGCTGAACCAGCTCAGAGTAAACTAGCTTAAGCTGAACCAGCTCAGAGTAAACTAGCTTAAGCTGAACCAGCTCAGAGTAAACTAGCTTAAAATGAACCAGCTCAGAGTAAACTAGCCTAAACTGAACCAGCTCATAGTAAAATAGCCTAAACTGAACCAGCTCATAGTAAACTAGCTTAAGCTGAACCAGCTCAGAGTAAACTAGCTTAAACTGAACCAGCTCAGAGTAAACTATCTTAAGCTGAACCAGCTCAGAATAAACTATCTTAAACTGAACCAGCTCAGAGTAAACTAGCTTAAGCTGAACCAGCTCAGAGTAAACTATCTTAAACTGAACCAGCTCAGAATAAACTTTCTTTAACTGAACCAGCTCAGAGTAAACTAGCTTAAGCTGAACCAGCTCAGAGTAAGTTAGCTTAAACTGAACCAGCTCAGAGTAAACTAGCTTAAACTGAACAAGCTCAGAGTACGCAACTAGCTTAAGCTGAACCAGCTCAGAGTAAGCAAATAGCTTGAGCTGAACCAGCTCAGAGTAAACTAGCTTAAACTGAACCAGCTCAGAGTAAGCAACTAGCTTAAGTTGAACCAGCTCAGAGTAAACTAGCTTAAACTGAACCAGCTCAGAATAAACTAGCCTAAGCTGAACCAGCTCATAGTAAACTAGCTTAAGATGAACCAGCTCAGAGTAAACTAGCTTAAACTGACCCAGCTCAGAGTAAGCAACTAGCTTAAACTGAACCAGCTCAGAGTAAGCAACTAGCTTAAGCTGAACCAGCTCAGAGTAAACTATCTTAAGATGAACCAGCTCAGAGTAAACTAGCCTAAGCTGAACCAGCTCATAGTAAACTAGCTTAAGATGAACCAGCTCAGAGTAAACTAGCTTAAGCTGAACCAGCTCAGAGTAAACTAGCTTAAACTGAACCAGCTCAGAGTAAACTAGCTTAAGATGAACCAGCTCAGAGTAAACTAGCTTAAGCTGAACCAGCTCAGAGTAAACTAGCTTAAGATGAACCAGCTCAGAGTAAACTAGCTTAAACTGAACCAGCTCAGAATAAACTAGCCTAAGATGAACCAGCTCAGAGTAAACTAGCTTAAGATGAACCAGCTCAGAATAAACTAGCTTAAACTGAACCAGCTCAGGGTAAACTAGCTTAAGATGAACCAGCTCAGAGTAAACTAGCTTAAGCTGAACCAGCTCAGAGTAAACTAGCTTAAGCTGAACCAGCTCAGAATAAACTAGCTTAATCTGAACCAGCTCAGAGTAAACTAGCCTAAACTGAACCAGCTCAGAGTAAGCAACTAGCTTAAGATGAACCAGCTCAGAGTAAACTAGCTTAAGATGAACCAGCTCAGAGTAAACTAGCTTAAGCTGAACCAGCTCAGAGTAAACTAGCTTAAGCTGAACCAGCTCAGAGTAAACTAGCTTAAGCTGAACCAGCTGAGAGTAAGCAACTATCTTAAGATGAACCAGCTCAGAGTAAACTAGCTTAAGCTGAACCAGCTCAGAGTAAACTAGCTTAAGATGAACCAGCTCAGAGTAAACTAGCTTAAGATGAACCAACTCAGAGTAAACTAGCTTAAGCTGAACCAGCTCAGAGTAAACTAGCCTAAACTGAACCAGCTCAGAGTAAGCAACTAGCTTAAGATGAACCAGCTCAGAGTAAACTAGCTTAAGCTGAACCAGCTCATAGTAAACTAGCTTAAGATGAACCAGCTCAGAGTAAACTAGCTTAAGATGAACCAGCTCAGAGTAAACTAGCTTAAGCTGAACCAGCTCAGAGTAAACTAGCTTAAGCTGAACCAGCTCAGAGTAAACTAGCTTTAGCTGAACCAGCTCAGAGTAAACTAGCTTAAGATGAACCAGCTCAGAGTAAACTAGCTTAAGCTGAACCAGCTCAGAGTAAACTAGCTTAAGCTGAACCAGCTCATAGTAAACTAGCTTAAACTGAACCAGCTCAGAGTAAACTAGCTTAAACTGAACCAGCTCAGAGTAAACTAGCTTAAGCTGAACCAGCTCAGAGTAAACTAGCTTAAGCTGAACCAGCTCAGAGTAAACTAGCTTAAGCTGAACCAGCTCATAGTAAACTAGCTTAAGCTGAACCAGCTCATAGTAAACTAGCTTAAGCTGAACCAGCTCAGAGTAAACTAGCTTAAGCTGAACCAGCTCAGAGTAAACTAGCTTAAACTGAACCAGCTCATAGTAAACTAGCTTAAGCTGAACCAGCTCATAGTAAACTAGCTTTAGCTGAACCAGCTCATAGTAAACTAGCTTTAGCTGAACCAGCTCAGAGTAAACTAGCTTAAAATGAACCAGCTCAGAGTAAACTAGCTTAAGATGAACCAGCTCAGAGTAAACTAGCTTAAACTGAACCAGCTGAGAGTAAACTAGCTTAAGATGAACCAGCTCAGAGTAAACTAGCTTAAGCTGAATCAGCTCAGAGTAAACTAGCTTAAACTGAACCAGCTCAGAGTAAACTAGCCTAAACTGAACCAGCTCAGAGTGAAACTAGCTTAAGATGAACCAGCTCA